TCGAATCCGGCTAACTTCCGCGTACATTCCCCGGCCAACGGCGGCGGGAAAGCCGGCGAATACACCAAGGAGTCCGGTTTCCTCGCGTACTACGAGGTACTTTCCAATCTCACGTATGTCGCCAAGTATCGAACGTATGATAAGTCGAACATCGAAATAAACAATTCGGACGTTTTATCGGAATTAGAAGAGAGAAAGGAACTTAAGGTGAAAATGCGAATACAATTAAATTAAATCATAGTCCGAGGCGCAGACGTACCTGGTGTAGAATTGAAACAGCGGGAAAAAGTAGTTGATATATACTTCGGACAAATATAAAGATAATATTTTCACACGAATATATGAAAAACGCGAGAGATTTTCTGCCATTACATATATCACATATATTTATAATTGTTACATATGTAACACGTATTATACATAAATTATGCAAGCTTTTTGAAATAACGAAATATAAAAGATAATAAGGGCCATAAAGAGCCACGCACGGATCTTCTAGTCCTATATTTTTCATCACTTTTTTATACAAACTAAAAAATTATTAAAGATAAAGCACTAGAAAATCCGTGCGTGGTTCTTTATGGCCTTTATTAGCTTTTATAACACATATTTTATATACAATCGTATACATATATAATAATTTTCGCCGCGCTGTCGCTCAATTTTACAGAGGCGGATAAATTTACGTATAATAAGGGGATCCTAAGATAGTTGGAATTAATATAAATATTTTAATTAATTTCACCTCGAATTTTTCATATTTTATATGCTGAAATTAATTTTACAATTTTAGATTTGCGAGATGTTGCATAACGGCGCCGCGTACGTTTGGGACGACGAGATGAAAGTGCCTTATCTGGTGTATAATGATCAGTGGGTCGGCTTCGATGACGAAAAGTCCGTCCGAAACAAGATGCATTGGCTGAAGAGCAAAGGTTACGGCGGTGCGATGGTGTGGACGATCGACATGGACGATTTCAACGGCACCGTTTGCGGTGGGAACGTGCGATATCCGTTGATCGGCGCGATGCGGGAGGAACTGCAAGGTATTTCGCGAGGCTCCAGTGCCAAGGACGTCGACTGGAGCGCGGTTGCCACCACCATCACGGAGACGATCGTAAAGAAACCCGAGCCTTACAAGATCTCCGCCTCGGAGGTCCTCACTAAATCGAAGAAACTCCAGAAATCCACGCAGCTTGTTATCAACACTCCGTCTCAAGGTATTTTCTCGCAATTCAATTGTTGAAAAGTATCAAGTAATAATGGCTCTATTTTAGTTTTACTAGAGAAGAAGAATTTATTTATTAGGTCAGTAAGAGCTTAAGCACGAATGTCCTAATACTTTTTTTGAATATTAATATAATTATAAATAATATTAATATTATTTGTGTGAAGATGCATATTACTTATCATAATAAGGAATCAAAATATAAATCATTTTACGGGAATAGGTTGACAGGGAACATTTAAAATAAATATTACTGGAATAGAAATAAAATCGCCACTCTGAACTAACGGAAATCAAACGATATCGGCTTTAGCATGAAAGATTTATTCTCCGCATACGAGTGTCAATTGAAAGAAACGAACGTACATTTAGTACACGACTAAACATGTATCTTCCCACAAATAATATTAAATATATTCAAATATATTATATAATATAATATTAAATTATAATATAGTATTAATATTATATCTGAAACATATAAAAATATTTTTCATATTCAATGATACATTTGATTTTCGTATTTATTTCTTTGATATGAAAAATTTTAATTAGGAGATTCGATAATCTCCGTAGAGATTAACTGGGCAATAGTGAAAGTTATCTTACACATTGGCAGAGAGAGAGGCGCAAACCATTTGCTACCTGACAAATTGGTCTCATAAAAGGCCGGGAATGGGACGATTCAGTCCGGAAGACATCGACCCAACTCTTTGCACTCACGTGGTTTACGCATTCGCCACTCTGAAGGATCACCTGCTTACCGAAGGAAGCGACAAAGATGCTGAAATGTATAACAGACTGATCGCACTCCGCGACAAGAATCCAGATATTAAGGTAATCACGATATATTTACACAGATTGTGTAATATCTTTTAATATTGCAATTGTTCTCAGAGAAAAAAATGGAGAAACACGTAAGAGAGATTGTAAAAGCGTTTCTTTTATCTCACATATCTTTATAATTTCAGATTCTACTTGCGATCGGAGGATGGGCATTCGGCTCGACGCCCTTCAAAGAACTCACCAGTAATACTTTCCGAATGAACCAATTCGTCTACGAGGCTATCGATTTCCTGCGAGAATATAAATTCGACGGGTTGGACGTCGACTGGGAATACCCGAGGTATTTTATTGTTGAGCTTTGAAAATTGACTAAGAAATTCTTCCCACGAAAGAAATACAATGCCTTTTGACACAATAAATGAGAAATGAGGGTAAATGTGATTTAATTTATCTATTGCCTTGTAAAAATAATCTTTCGAAATTCTTCTCACAGAGGAGCCGACGATCGAAGCGCCTACGTTAATTTATTGAAGGAACTCAGGCTAGCTTTCGAAGGCGAGGCGAAGAGTTCCGGCCAACCGAAATTAATCCTCTCAGCCGCAGTCCCCGCCAGTTTCGAAGCCATTGCTGCGGGGTAAATATTCCAGGCGATTACATCGAGAAGAATTTAAATCAACGCGGCATGAGAAATCAAGGACACTTTGTGTTGATCTTCCCACAATTTATAAAGTATGAGAATTTTTAGCTTTCCAGGGTGTTAAAAAAAATCATTTTCGTAGATACGACGTCCCCGAGATATCTAAATATCTAGATTTCGTTAATGTGATGGCATACGACTTCCATGGCCAGTGGGAAAGACAAGTTGGCCACAACAGTCCGTTGTATCCTTTGGAGAGTGCTACTAGTTATCAAAAGAAGCTGACAGTGGTAAGCACGAGGACGATGCCGTGTGCTTGCATTAAAGTCTAAATATTCCCAACTATGAATAAATCTTTCGCGCTTCGTTCGTAGGATTACAGCGCGCGTGAATGGGTGAAGCAAGGAGCACCGAAAGAGAAGCTCATGATCGGAATGCCCACGTACGGCAGATCCTTCACGCTGGTCGATAAGGAGAAATTCGACATCGGCGCACCTGCATCCGGCGGCGGTGTGGCGGGTAACTTCACCAACGAATCCGGATTCTTGTCCTACTACGAGGTACGCTACAGTGTTATTTTTCATTTCTCAACTTCGTTTATAATTTTCGTAATTTTCATTCGATAATATCTATTTGGACAGTTTGTAGCTAATTTATATAGTACAATTAAGAATAAGAAGCACAAATCTGAACACCATTTTTTCCCATATTTGGTTGTATGCTTCACGAAATTGTAGTTATGGAAGAGATACATCTTTAAGGCCAGTATTTGCATCTTATATTCGAATCTTATATTTAAGATCGTCTCCTTCAGATGCATTGTAGCTAATGAAATGACACATGCAGTATCTGAAGATGTCAATCTCTCAAATAGGTCTGCAGCTTCTTGAACGAAGACAACACGACTCTGGTGTGGGACAGCGAGCAGCAAGTACCGTTTGCGTATAGAGACGATCAGTGGGTCGGATTCGACGACGAAAGAAGTCTCATTAATAAGGTCAGCGGAAAATAAATCCACATTAGCGAAAGTTATACGTACAGCTTTTCAATTCAACTCAGACCACCTCAGTTTGTCAGGACGGAACATACGCGCGTGTAATTAGCGCACGTAGCAATTTCTTTTTCTATATGCGTTAATATGCTTTCTTAATTTGAAATTACACATTTCTTCGCAGATGTCGTGGCTCAAGGAGGAGGGCTTCGGAGGCGTCATGATCTGGTCGGTCGACATGGACGACTTCAAAGGATCCTGCGGAGCTGGAAGGTATCCGCTGATCAAGGCGATGAAAAAAGAGCTGCAAGGCTATAAAGTCAAGTTAGAATACGACGGACCTTACGAGAGTACCTTAAGAAATGGAAGATACACTACTAAGGATCGTAAGTATCCCAAATATTATCGCGTATTATTTATATCGCAGAACCGTTTTTTCCACGGATTTTCCGGATTCTTATCATTTTTATGGAAAGAAATAAATGCGGTAGGTTTTAACTGAATACATATGAATTTTTTACAAACGAATTTTTCTAACCTTAGAATAGAAACCGAAGGTATTCGCGAAAAGAATCGGAAGAAGTCCGATTTTTTTCCGATCTTTCAAAGCTATACATATGAAAATATATTTGTTCTATATCGCTTCGAATTATTCGATGAAATTGAACGATTTAATTTCGGAGATATTCGAATGAATCCTCATTTTGCCCGATAGCGAACGAAGTGATGTGTGACGAGGAGGACAATCACATATCTTATCACGCGGACAAAAACGACTGTACGATGTATTACATGTGCGAGGGCGAGCGCAAACATCACATGCCCTGTCCTGTGAATCTGGTCTTCAACCCTAACGAGAACGTCTGCGACTGGCCGGAGAACGTCGAGGGCTGTTTGCAGCACACGCAGGCGCCGCCTGTGTAGAAGAGGCGAGGAGCCGTAAAGTAAATTTCCCGCGGAAACTGTAAAATAAAAACGACGCGAGGGAAGTTCGAGGAGAGGTAACCATTTATCGAGATTCGTTAATTCGCAAGACAAAGTGAGTAATATTACCATCGCGCGTTAACAACGGATTTAACAGCGTTCACGGATTTCTTATCCCATTATTATCCCTCTCGAGAGAGTACCTTATTTGTCTATACTTCTCTTTTATTGCTACTTTCTAAGAATTCTCTTCCCCCATTCCTGTCTATCTCTATCTTCGCCATCTGTATAAAGCACAAGCGAAATCATGACAATTGTGTTTGTAAATAAAAACCAAATTCGTTTTTCGGAAGGAACATTTCGAATTGTTTCGCGGAACGGATGTGATATCCTTTCTCTCTCCGCCCGCCGCTCTCTCCTTCGGGCACCGACCGGCGCGGAAATAACAGGAGAGATAACCGTAATCAGTTGTTCGATTACTTTTATTGTTAACCTTACATAAAAAATGTTTACACTGTTCCGTGGAAATATCTTTATATCTACGTTTCTTCTACGTGAATTCAATATTAAAGTCTCTCGCAAACTCTCGTGCGACCGTTTAAATCACTAGAAACTTCTCTCACTTTTTTTTATTTAGAAACTCATCACGTAAAGGGGATATTAACGCTTACGCAATATATATATACGATGCTTTCTTTATGTCTCAGCGATAGTGAGAAATTTTAAGTGAAAGCCGCGATATACCGAATCATAATGTTGCATCATTTGAATCGTGCGAAAGGTACGCAACATGTGGAAAGTATTCATTTATGCGCGTTACACGTAATATGAAAGGGGACCTTGCGGAGATCGTTCTGGCGTTACCAGAGAGAGGCGATAATCTATACACAGGTATAATTATCTGGCGTAAAATTCAATCTAACAATGTGCCGGAAAAGTAACACGTACTTTCCTCGTTTCACTTTGGACTAGAATTCTACACTCGGGAAGAGACATCCGAGTCCCTTTCCCAAGGAAAGGCTCGATCCACGCGAATCCTCGTCTTCGCTTCGGAATTAAGATAGCTACGACGGTCAGATGACGGTTTCGAACGGTTCTCGACGAGACGACTCTTCTGTCGCTGCACGAACTCGCGGCCAATTAGTTAACGACAAAAACGAGGATGAAAAACTTGACGAAGGCCAGCCAGGCTGTCGCCAGGCGTTCGTAATTCCCCGAGCTGAGAGCGGACGCTTGGCAGGCGGTGTGCGGAGTACCCAGTGTCAGCAGGACCTTGTCGGACGAGTACGACGGAGTGGTCTCCGTGCACACCGCTCGGCCGGCTATGGTCCTCAATTGCCTGGCGTCGGATTGCGACGCCGTGTGGATCTGCCGGGACTCCCTCAGCCACCTGCGCAGCCACAGGCTCAGCCACGCGATCTCGCAGTCGCACTCGAGCGGGTTCCCCGATACCTGCAGCCCACCTGAAGACAAATCGTCGTCAGTGACGCGAGTGCCGGTCTTAACGCTACGAACCCCGGTGTGTAATTTCTACGTGCATTCACGTGCGTAAAATCGTGCAGTCACTCGACGCATTTTTACGCGTGTTACTGTTTTGCCGCACCTTTCATCTGTTTGTTTTCTAATTACGGGAAACATTAAAGATTAGATATTATTAATCAAGGAGAAAATCCGTAGAGTTTTCAGGCGCATTCTCTAAAAGTTTCTCCAGCTTTTATCAATAGCAACGTGTAAATAAATAAACATTCGTTCCCTTGCATTACGTATTTTTTCAAAACTCTCCTTTCGACCGTTTTAACAAAAAAAAAGTATAGCTTGATCGTCGGTAGCTCTAATGTTAATAATTATCAATGGAAGACTATAAGTGACGAATAGCGAGCTCACCGGCCACCATGTTGGTTCCTACAGTCTCCCAAGAGAGATTGCCGTAGATTATCGACGGACTTAATTCGTTGATGTGATTGTTCCTCAGATCCAGAGTAAGCTGGGACAATCTCTTTGTCAACGATAGAAAAATATCCGACTGTAATCTGCGGACGTGCGTATCCTTAATTCGCAGTATCAGTTCGCCGCCTTCGATTGTGGAGAACGCCTCGGAGGAGATCAGCTCGAGATCGCTTCCGGTGATCGTTAGCTCTCTCAATTGTTTCGTAAAAGCGTTTTGTATCTGGTGCTTCAGCAGGTGCTCTGTCACTTGAATCTCGACCGTTCGAAGTGGCAAGCCGGACAGCAAGTGACGGAGATGAAAGCCGTCAGCCTGCGGCCACGTTTGGATGCGCAGGTGTTTCAGGTACTTCAACGGTCGAAGGCAGTCCTTGTCTACTGACCTGGTGCGATTCAAGTTTCTCAAGTTTAACTTTTCCAATCGCAGGTAACCCAGGAAACTCTCCTTCGTCAGTTCCTATAAAATCGCCGAACATATTTTCCGTTACCCTCCTTGAAAACTTTAAGAATCCGGCATTTTATCGTTTTAATTTTAATAATTTTTACACGAAGAAAAATAATGTTGCTTTCATAGCGAACTCATCGCTATTGTATATTCGTTGCAATAGCGATAAAATTTAGTCGGCATAACTAAATTAGCGAATTATTCGTAATTAGAGTAGAAACAATTTTGTTGCCAGGATAAAAAAGTTCTGCTGAGTAAATTTATTGTTAGGACACGTTATTTTGCTGTATGAACAAAATAGTGTTCTTCTAATTATTTGCTAATTTGCTCTTAAGATGAAATAATTTGTTGACTCAACAAAATAATCCAGCGAATGGCAATTAATACTATATTTAAAAAACCGTTCTACCGTCTACATAGCAACTGACAGACTTTGCTGAGACAGCATAAAATTTACTGCCAACAAGTTATTTTTCTCCGTGTAGGAAAAGTTAAGGTATTTACCTCGATAGGATTGCCGGAAACGTCGAGTTCTCTCAGAAGGTTCAGTCGAACGCCAGGCATCGATGTCAACGAGTTATTGACCAACAAGAGTATTTTTAGACCTTCCAGATATTGAAACTGCTTATCGGCAGTCTCGTCAACATTGTTGAAAGATAAGTCCAAGACGTTTAAGTTTGTCAACGGTAGCATTGGTATGTTCCTGAGACCGCAGTTGGCCAGATAGAGTTGCCTGAGGTCCGGCAGATAATGAAACAGTTCTTTGAAGTTCGCTTGAAGAATATTCTGTGACACGTTTAGGCTCAGTAACTTGCTCAAGGAGACGAACGAATTATCTGGCAATATCGTCAGACGATTTTGCGCCAAATTCAAAAACACCAGCTGAGAAGTCGGGAAAGCTGTCGAGTCTAGATGATCCAAGAAGTTCTCCGCCATGTTGAGATCCCTCAAGGTGTAGCCGACCTCCAAAAACGACGCGGAGGGCACGGCGGTGAATTTATTGTGGCTGAGATCAAGGATCTCCATTCTGGTGCCCTCGAAGACGTCTCTCGGCAATGATCGGATCTTGTTGTTTGAGAGATTCAGGATTCGCAAATTCTTCAGGTTCCTAAACTGCTCGGTCGACAACTGGGCGATCTCGTTTCCGCCGAGGTTCAGTCGCTGGAGAGACTCCAGACCGTGGAAGGATTGCTTACGCAGCGTATCGATCTTGTTCTCGCTCAGCTCCAGAATTTCCAGATGAGGAAGCCCGAACGTTCCTGAAATATACGCGTTTCATTGGTGGTTTTAGATTTTTATCACCCGAAGATTGATACTTCACTTTTTGAATTTTGCAAGATAGGTATAAGAATATTCGATTCCCAATAAAGAAATGAACTTATAACTGCTGCGACTCGATTTTTTCGAAGCAACGATCAAGAAAAAGACTGCAAGGAGTCATCATTTTGTAACTTGGAGAAGAAGATACCGGTTTTTTTTTCACTTGAATGTTTGAAACTCTCTCACGAGAGGCATTTCTAAATTTTCACGCCGCATTTCCTCACCTGGATCGATCGTTGTGAGAAAGTTGTTCTGCAGATTTAAACTTTTCAGATCGGGCGTGCCGTAAAACGTGTCCGGGGAGAGATGACTGATATTATTAAATCCCAGGTCTAGTCTGGTGAGATTGTTCAACGAGGATCCCGAGTCAATGAACGCGATTGCGTTGTACGAGACGTTCAAGGCGAAGTCGGGGCCGCCGATCTCCGAGATGGCAACCAGATCCAGCACGGTCAGCTTGTTGAATTCCATGTGAAGGAAACGCAAGCTGGACAGACCATAGAAAGCGTTCCTCTCCAATTTCTGTATCCTGTTGTAAGCTAACGATATGGTCACCAGCTTAGGGCAATCTATGATCGAGCCAGGCGCCAAAACCTTTATTCGATTTCCAGTGAGGTCGAGGGAACGTAGCTCGGTTAGATTGTGGAAGCTCGACTCGGGAATCGCTTCGAGAAAATTGTAGCCCAGTTTGACGTCTTTCAATTCGGGATGCACGCTCGAGAGGAATATTCTCTCGGGCAGGTAATGCAGCCTGTTCGACTCCATGCTGATGTAACGCAGCTGTTGGAAGGAGTAGAAAGCTGTCGCCTCGATCGTTTGGAAATTGTTGTTGTCCAAAACCAGCCACAAAAGATTCGTGAGTGGTCTGAGCGCACGCTGTGGAAACACGTCCGTGGCGAAGGCGAAGCTCAACTCGAGAATGTCCAGACTCTCCTCGATGCCGACGAAACAGTCGTCGTCGAGTTCCGTCAGGTGATTAAACGACAGACTGAGTTCCTTTAACTTGCCTATGAAAGAATTTTTTCGGGACGTTCTTGGATCATTTCAAGACACATATAAAATTATATTATATTAGTGATAAAAGATTCACTGGCGGATATACAGAAAATAAACAGAAAATATGTAGAAGATGACAAAAGAAAAACTTATAAAAGAGAAATATAATGCTCACAGATAATGCGTAGAATATCAGAATCGATTATGATTAAATATACGAATATATATACATGTAAAAGAGTAGGCGTATAAACAGTGTAAAAATAACGTAATCATAACGTATAAATGACATATTACGTCGGATAATAATGGCTACGATACAGATATCCATTGTCTCGAGTAATATACTTTCGCAATGGAAAATACGAGCAACGCACCAGCCCCTTTGAAGGTCTCAGCTTTCAGTTTCGTCAGGACATTGTTCCTGAGCAGCAGGATCTCAAGGTCCTCAGCCCACTCGAAATCACCCGGCTCTACGTGGGAGATCTTGTTGTAACCGAGATTCAGATGCAGTAGCCTCTGGCATCTGTTACGAAAATCGATCATCGAGTACATTGCATCCAGCTCGTTTCCCGCTATTGAGATCTCGTATTAATAGCCCGTATCCTCGCGCTGTGTGTGATTTATTTTGACCTTTACGATCTATAACAAGGAACTCCATGTATAAGAATGTAGTACAAGAACGCGCGGAACCGATCGGCCACTCGGTCTTCGCGAGAACTCACGTGGAACAAAATCGGTTTACGAATTCTTCACTTCAAAAAGCACAGCATGACGAATCCTTCATCGATCTAAATATTCCTTTTAGTTTAACGAATTATCAAATTAAACGAAAACATTTCTCCGAAAAGTATATCGTCACTGAGTAACGTCTTCATGTTGATCGGCAAAGATGATATAATTTGCAATTTAACTTAATTAAAGTTATATAAAAAGCGTCGGTGAAATTAAATTAAATTGTTTAAATTTCGTCGACAGTCGGGAAGCAATTTTCGTAAAAATGTTCTCTCTTAGAATCATCGATTGTGCGGTCGAAGAATTGATCTTGCAAGAAGAATTTAACAATACCTGGACAATGCGGCCACTGGCACCGCGTCCAAACTGTTAGTCGCGAAGGAGAGAGCCTTCAGGTGGTCCGCGAATTCTTGAAATGCCTCGCCGGAGATATTTCGAATCTCATTATTAGCCAGGTAAAGGTACGACAACGTTCTCAATTGACTGACGGCGTTCGGCACCGCCGACAAATCGTTATTCTCCAGATTCAAGTACTCAAGAATGTCTTCCAGTCCGTAAAAGGCTTCGTCGTCGACGTTCCTGATGCCATTCGACGACAAATGCAGTCTTTTGATTTCCAGCCGATCGAACATTCTGCCTGGCAACGATGTCAGTTTGTTACTAGCGAGATTGAAGTCCACCACCTTCAACGTGCGATTGCTCAAAGTCGGTGTCTTCATCCACTCGATGGAGTTTTCGCTGAGATCGATCAGCTCCAGACTGGAACTGCGGAAATCCGGCAGTTCCAGATATCTGATGTTGTTTCCCCTCATGTAGAGCCAGGTGAGGGCTTTCAAGCTTTCCAGAGACTGCGGGAATTCCTTCAGGAGATTATTGTTAATACTCAGAGTGTGCATATTCGGCGGCAGGCATTCCTTCGGGAACTCCTCGATGTTGTTGCTGTCTACGTTCAACCAAACCAACGCGCCGAAGCTCGAGAAAAGCCTGGGTACTTCGGTGATCGAATTGTCGCCGAAGAACCCGTTCGACAAGGTGTCTCTGGTGCGGCCCCAGTCACCGTCCAACGACGTTAGATGATTGCTGTATAATTGACAAATGTTTTCTAATTAAAATCTTATTTTGTCACATCGATTTGTGCGCCTTGTTATGCCACGTTCTTCTTGGACACCTATTTTGCTAACGATGCCATTCGAATCCATTAACAACCGGTTCTCTTCGGAAGAAATGTCAAGCACTTAGTATATTTAACATATAAGACACATAAGGACGCGGTTCAAAATACTTTTGGTTAAAATCTGTTAATACGGACCGCTTCATCAATATTAATTTGATCGCAGCTATTCTCGTCCACGAGAGGCAGCAATTGACGCGATTGTGAAATCCAAATTTGCCACGTACCTGTGCATATTCAGCCAATTCAGTTTTTTTAGGTTGCGAAAGGCCTTGAATGGTACATCCTCGAGGGAGTTGTAGCTCAGATCTAGCGAACGTAGACTGTCCGTAATACCTCTTACAACAAAAGACGTTCAGAGACATTACGATGTTTAACATATACAAATGTTCAAAAATCTCTCATTTCTCTTGTACGTAGACCTAATGCGAGAAATATGAACTTACAATAGAGACTTGTCACCTATGCTGGATAATCGATTGCTCATCAGCCCCAAAGCTTCGACACCCGCGGAGCTTGCAAGCGCGTCGTTGTCCAGCACTTGCATGCCGGAGCCGACGATATCCAGCTGCGTCACGTAGCTCACCGAAACGTCTGAAACGTTTCGTATAAATTGCGCTTAAGTTCGTTATGTCTCGGAATTTACGTCGAACGGCTTTAAATAACGACTAGATTCTAGGAATTCAGACGAACCAGGAAATCGCGCGAATGGAACTCCCATACAACTGATATCCATTTTGGTAAAGTCGTCGTCATCGTCCTGGACCCAACACATGCACATTGTGTTGAACACACACGGCACGTTATAACATTTTATCACGCCGGGGTTCCACAGAAGGAAGAATAGTATATTCGCGAGGCGAATCGCACCGAGCCTCATCTACAAAAGCGGAAAGTAAGCATTAAAGTCTTTTCCGTACAATATTTATAAAAATGTACACCTTTCATATAATTATACATATTGAAGCTCAAGATAAATATTATAATTCTCGTCAAAAATTATTACACAATTATTCAAAAATATAGCGAAGAAAATATGACGATAAAATATTTGAAAATTTATTATAATTATATCAACTATCTAATTACGTTCATGCTATTGTAACAACGAGCAGACCTTGTCCAGGACTAAATCCAGGTGACTTCCTGGAGCTCCTCTGTTGAAAACTAACGTACATCAGATCGGTTTCAAAAGCGTGATACTCATCTCAGCAAAGCGTCGGTTTTCAGGATACCTTCATGGTTCGATCGTTGACTCTACCCAAGAGCAGGAGGCAAACAAAACGTGTCGGGAACTCAGTTCGTGAACGACTGGTAAAGCGCAAGTGCAAAGCTCGGGAAAGCGCAAGCGCGTGTCCGGACGACCTTTATGGATCGAATATGATACGACTCGTGATAATTTCTGATAGAAAGTTGAATAGTTGAACGGCATTTCGAGTGTAATTTTTATTTCAGGGCATGTAATTAATAATTAGCATTGTTACAGGGCAGAAAATGATATTTACGAAACTCACACAATAATAAATAAAATGATATATGATTATATAAAATTCTAGAAAAAGACACGAAAATACAAATCTTAGATTTCAAAATATGACAAATCATCGTAACTTTCTCCTACGTTTCAAATGACAAAAAACTTTCAGATGAAACTGGTATTTCTCTGACAACGGAAGATCGGAGAGTATTCGTCACCAATTTTGATGAGCGTTATGATATAACGTAGAGAAGCCAGGAAGCGAAAATCAACCGAGCAATCCATTCACATTTGATTATGAGTGAATATTTTTGAAATCGAAAGATGCATAAGAAAATGCTTTGCAGAATTTTACAATGATCGATAATATTTATAATTGCATTTAGATTTGCTTTTATTTTATATTTTTTAACATATCTTCGTCTCTCATTCTTATTTTGACGAATTTTAACATTCTTGTGGGAAGCAAAAGAATTTTATGCGCCAAATTTAATTACGTACAATATAATTATTTTTTATATTTTTAGCCTAGTTTAGTATGATTTAGTATAGTTTAGTATAAAATCGCATTTTTAATAGAGTTTTGAAGGTTCGGAAGACCCGATTTTTTTTTCAATTTATAATTTATAACAGTACAATTATAATTTATAATAATACAATTTACAATAATAAAAAATTTTTTCGCAAAAAAACTTTTTTGTTTTTTCCGCGATTTAAGAAATAAATTTTTTTAAACAATAATTTTTAGCACACGACTTGCAAAAATCGCGCTATAAGTAACTTGCAGACGCATTAAATCCCGTGAGTACGCTCTAAGTAGTTCCAGACGCGTTGCGCCTGCCGCATCGAAGTAGGTACAGACACATTACGTCTGGCCCGCCGGTGGTCTGCTAATAGATACAGCCGCGTTACGTCTGTCCTCGCGCGCGTTCTGAGTAGATTCAGACGCGTTGCGCCTGCCGCATCGAAGTAGGTTCAGACACATTACGTCTGGCCCGCCGGTGCTCTGCTAGTAGGTATAGCCGCGTTACGTCCGTCCCGCCGGCGCTCTGCTAGTAGGTATAGCCGCGTTACGTCCGTCCCGCCGGCGCTCTGCTAGTAGATACAGCCGCGTTACGTCTGTCCTCGCGCGCGTTCTAAGTAGATTCAGACGCGTTGCGTCTGTCCCGCTCGACCGCGGCATCTCTCAACTAAATGAAATAAATATCGTCGTCGTCGGTAGGTTTTTTTTATTATATCCAATTCTAATATCATAATAATATCATATTAACGTCAATAAAGTGTTTCAATACATATTCGTGTCTCTGTAAATAGCGAGAGCGCACACAACGTAATTATGGGCTATTAAATGTAACGTAATCGCGTAATTGCAACGTATAAGATAATTCACTTAAAATTGAGGATAAAAAGTGATCCTCAAAGTTGTTAAATCGCGCGCTGAATATTAATATGAACCGTGGGATCACACGGAGATCCGAAGATAAGGCGCGAATCGAGGGAGCGTCGAGAGACGCAAATAAGAAGCAAGAGAATCGTGGAATCCTGCGAAGGTGGCAAACATCCGGGACGACGCAGCGGTTAGGTATTTCGCTACGGGACAAGGATACGCGGATTCGTCCGGAGTGAAGCCAGTTTCTCCGCAAATTTGCACAAGACGCGCGCGGCACGTTTCCGACAGAAGGTCCGACTCGCACCTGCAAGCGGACTCTCGCTGTCGAAAAGAGACAGAGGTAGAAAAAACGACGAAGAGCCGAAGGAAGGAGAAGGAAGAAGAAGACAAGAAGAGAACTCAACGAGGAGAGAAGGAGGAGGAGGAGATGGTGGAGGAACCCAAAGCTTGTCAAAAAGTGAAAGGTTGTCCGTCTCCTCTATCCCCACACACAGGATCTGGATCTGGCCGGCAAAACCGATCTACCTGTCTCCTTTCCTCTCTCTGTCTCGCTTTCTCCTTCTTTCACCGTGTTCTTCCCCCCTTCCCCTCTGCGATCCAATACGGAACGACGTCTCAACACACCGGCACCAACAATTCCAGCCCCGACGACACCATCAACGGCGCGAACGCGCCGGCTCTCCGTTGATGCCCCGAGGATGATTTTCATTCAGGACTTTACAGTAACGCCGAGACGTTAACGCGGCGATTTGCGCTCGCCGATGCGCGCCGATAAGTGAGTTCTCGTACGTACGTTGAATCAAAGGTCTCGTTTTCGCTTTATCGAGGTAGGACCGGGCTGAAAGTACACAAGAGCGTGATTAATTAATCGGTCGGCCGGAGTCGCCGAGGCGGACTTTCGTTCGCCCATAAGGAAATGTGACGGTAACGATGGCGAGTTGCGAGTTCGGATTTTGATCCTAGTTTGAAAGTGACACGTTTTCGGCGGGTGCCAGGTTTGCTTTCTCATTGGCACAAATCGCCGAACGTTGGCGAGGAAAAGTTATGAAAAGGGCGCCAGCAGTAACTACATCTTTGAATCGCCAGAGGTAGAGCCGGTGTATTTACGTTACTCGCGTTTCCGAGCCTCGCGTGGAGATAAGGTAAACAGCGTGCGTGAAGGCAAGAATCACAGAGTTGAGAGAGAGAGTGTCGAGTTTCATTAGTTTCATTTAAATCAATCGTGAAGACGAGAACGAAGAGTTACGCAGCACCGAATCTTCTAAATCGCCGAGTCATCTAAATGTAATAATTTTTCAGCATACTTTTATTTCCATTGTTTACTCAGCCCGTTTCTCATATTAATACGGAAGGAAAAGTGATTTTGATTATTTGATCGGGATAATTTTCAAAGGCGAAAATAAAGCGCCAAACTTATCGATATTTCTTACAATTTGACGCGTATTTAAAGCGTCGACTTTTTTCTTCGCCATTTTGTTCAAACACAACGGTAATTGCAAATGTAACTCTCCATTCGCGCACGCAAGCGACTTATCGTATCGGTCCTCCCGAACAAGCACGACGAACGAGCGAGCGGCAAGAAATGCCAGGAATCTTGTTGATCTCGTGATGAATTGCCGAAGTGGCAGTGATCTCGTTTCTTCGGTGGCACACCCGTTCGTTTCTCACAACACCTGTCGCGAAGAGTAATCAGCAACATGGAGGAAAATATCAGCTGCATGGAGGAAGAATGCCTGATCGAGAGGAGGAGGACTACTACGCTAAAGGAGTGTAAAGAGATATTGCAGGAAGAAAAATCCGACCGTTATAGCAAAGAAGCCTTTAGAAGACTCTTTCATGATCAGGTACTTATTCGACACGACTGAAATAAGAACTAGATACGCAAGTAATAAACGTACAGATATAATAACGGTACTCTCTTATAATAGATTGCCTTTCCTTTATTTAGTATAAATTTAATTACGATTAAAAAATTAATTTAATACTAACTTTTAATTAAGTTTCTGGCTCAAGTAACTATTATCTTAACTAAGATAATTTTATAACTCATTAACTTTTAACTTAGTTAAAAATAAAAATTATCTAACACTGCAAATATTAATTAAGGGAAATTAATTTTTTTAGTATTTATAAGTGTTCGATGATGAAGTTGATTTTTCTGGCTGAGGCAGAAAGAATTACCGCTCTTATTTATAAAATTCGGGAAGTATATACAGTAATTTTAAATTTACGACACGGGCTGATTTTACGACAGCTTTTTCGACGTGTCTTTTTACGTAAAATGAGTGAAACGTTATCCCTTAGAAGGGAAACGTAAAGCCGTGTAAAAAGTAATCGTATCTTATGAAAGTAGTCATTATTAAACGCCAAGATCATTAAATCGTAAATCCGAAGGCTCGGGACAGAGATAAACAAAACACGGTCCTGCAATTTAAGTAGTCCGCTGATGTCATATATTATGTCTGTACAAATTTTAATTCCATGCATAGACTTAATGTCTCACGGTTAATGGATCGGATAAAATCATTTGCTGAACAATGAATCATGAGCGAAACGTGGAATAATCTCTTCACGAAGATAAAAGATAATTGCTGTTGTACTATTCATTGCGCGGACTCCCAAAAGAGCTCCTTTGTAAAGGCGGTAGTTACAAAGGAAAATAGTTGTGTCTACACGCAATACGTCGCTCCGTCGGGAATAAAACCATTAAATTCATATGTATCCTGTAATCTGCTGCATCCTTAATAGCATCGTGCAAAAAAGATTAACGTACAATCCGCAAAGTAACCTTTTGGTGTTTACCAACACAGATTTACAATAAGGAGGATGAAACGTCCTCGCGATGGCAATCTGGTCGCGGCACTTTCTTAAAGTGGCCATGAAGAATTGCAATTATTGTAATTATTGGCTTGCCGTCTCGCTTTCTTTCGCGAACCGCAGGAAAAAAGGCTCGCGTGGCACTAGACGTGAAACCTCGGAATTACATCACAAAGTCCCGAGGATATTGGCTCGTCAAGCGATTACGATCCCTATAAAAGAAAGAGAAAGAAGAAGAAAACGAAAAAGCGTTTACGGTTCCTCGTGAGATCGGTGTTTCTTCGGATTGTAATTTATTTTATATTATATCTGAATAACAAGATAATACGTATTCCTGTTAATCGAAATGTCCGTAATCGGCAACTGTAATCAAAGCCGTAAGGATTCAAGTTTGAATCGTAACAGGAATTCATTACGTTAAAAAAGTAATTAAAAGCTCCTTGAAGCAAAAATCTGATCAAGTTACACTCCCAACAAATGAATTACTTAACATTTAGCGTTGAAAAAATATACATATATCGGCCGATTGGCGCGAAAACGAGGCGGATTTAAATAAATAAGACCCACTTAGATAAGGGCATGATGTGGATTTACTAGTTCAAATTTTTGTAGAAAAAAAATATCAATCTAGTTTCGAAAGCGAATAACTAATCGCCAGAATTGCGAGAGCACTTTCGTTAATCGTTTTTTTTTTCTTTCGTAGTGAAAATTTGAAATTTCACAGAATGAATGTACTCTAGAATGAAAGTTATTTTGAAAGTGACTATACTTTTAATTATCGGGTACCGTTTTTTTAGACACACGGTTGTTCTAATAGACTTAAAAAGATACCGCACCATGAATACATTGGCTCTCTATAAGGCAGCAATCGGTCATCCAGTCAATCATTTCACACTCGGACGGAATGCGCTGTCATTATACCGTCTACGGGATTTACGTAACGTACAATTTGACAAAAGTGACGTGTACATATTGCGTGTAAGACGTCAAGAGATTGAACATGAGACTTCAATTCGATCCGTTTATCTTCGCGTTTCACAGAACAATTAAATACACATAATTTATAAAATATAAGCACCTCCCTGAATATTATATGCAATCAAATTTACAAAAAAAAAAGAACGAGAAGGCTCATTGACGATGAAATTATTTTTCTTACACGGAGAAACTATTGTAATAAAAATTACTACCAAATTTTGTAATAAATGGTCTACGCCGGAATTATGACGGAAATGATTATGTGTGTTGTAATCTTTAGTGATGTATATCATTGTGTAGATCACAAAACGAAACGAAGGATTTTAATGGACGTTTTTTTATTTAAGATCCTGAGAAGTCTTATTGAATGTCCTGAGATTACAGTTAGTCACAGTCAATGTTCCCTTTGGAACTCTTAGATATTTTCCACCTTTTCACGTGTGTTTGCACCGCACTCTTTATGGTAAATTTAAATCAATAAATAAATGATCTTCGTTTGCAAATACTTTTTTTATCATGATTTTTTAACAATTGATAATTATTGCATATATTTCCTCGATAAAATCCTTGAAGTTAGATGTAAAGATTCCTTGAGTTCCGATTTATTGGTTACGTTTTGCTGAAGATTACAATACACGTAATAATTTCGATAATAATTCCGATATAACCCGACATTACAAACTTGTGTAGCAATTTTTATTACAACATCTTCGTCATGTGAGGTATCCCTTTCGATTTATTTTTTTAAGGTTTTTAAATGGATTTAACACGACGGTATCGTCTCTTGCGGAAAACTTCGGGTTGAAAGATTTTATTTATTCTTCGACAGCAAAATCCATGTCGCTCCTGGAGTGATTGAGTCCATTCGCGCTATAGTATATGTATCTTTCTCTCTTTTTCAATTATAAGAAAACACTGGATAAAGCGTTATAGACGAAATGGGATTCCCCATATCGGGCCTGAGATTCGTTTTCGATGGTTCGCGATCTCGGGAGCCCAGCGCGACGTTTTATCGGACAATCGTCTCCGCGTGCGCGCGCGCGAGAGATCGCGATCGTCGGGCAATGAGTTCACGCTCGAGAATCCGCGTCGCCGTAGGAAAAGGAGACCCGAGGCGGCGGTGACGATACGATCGAAGGAAACGGGGGGTCTCTATCGAGGGCCTCCGGTTTTCGATCAAGGTGGCCGATCGCCCCGGGCGCGAGGCCTTGATGCTCCCCGAGCACCTCCGTCACTTGGGACCGATCGATCGATTGTGGGGACCAGTCGTAGAGTAGAACACAGTGCCGGCTGGGGCCGACACCTCGTTTACTGACCATCCATTAACCCTTTAATCCTCATCGTTACGAATCGCCGACGTGCTATCGGCCGTCATTATCGGCCGGGCGTCGTTAAATACCGATTCACGTCTTTAAAGTATACGTTTCTTTCGGTGTCGAGATCCGATTGATTGGAAGGAAAAGAAGTGGAACTGAAAGAGAGAAAAAAAAGATATATATACATATATATATATAGAGAGAGAGAGAGAGAGAGAGAAAGAGAGAGAAAGAGAGAAGTATTGTTAAATAAAATATTTTTAATAGGATGGGTAATTAAAATATTTTAAATGAAATAAATTAAATCAGGTTAAATAAGATATTAATCCAGATAACATAATGTCTAAAATCGGAACATAAGATGTCTTAAAAACCTTTGTAATTAAGACATCTGATAGACCTCTTATTTCCCGATTTTAGACGTTATATTGTCTGAAAAGTTATCTAATTGTTAAATTAAAGCCAAGAAACGCGAGGTAAGATCTGCTTAAAACTCGATTACGAAAACGACGTTCGTTGGAAGTAAGAAAGTTAGTATAATAAAATAAGAAAGTTGTTAAGAAAGACGCTGAGAGAGATCACATCGCGGCAAAACCTGTTATTTTTCCCATCTGGAATTTCCACTTGAAATATAGATATAATTACAATAATCACGTATGTAATTCAGAGAGAATCATTGTAAGAAGAAGAAGAAGAAAAACATCGCCATTAGTTTTGCATCACCAAATGTGCGATGTCATCAGGTGCGGTAGAGAGAGTAATCGATCTAAGCGTGAATAGCGCGCGTGAATAGACAGCACGCGAACATATGCACGTTTTACACGTGTTCCCAATATTGAATAGCAAGATCAACATCGACCTTTCGATCGGAAACTTTCGTGCAGAATTGTATCATAAAGACGATTGGCTTGTCATATCAGGCCTGTATAATTGCCGTGATTGATCATTATTATTTCCTCTGGCACCTGTGCGGAGTACAGTACGTGTGAGATGAAAGAATGACTGATTCGAGACACTCTTTTCTTGCATCGCTAATTTTAAAAGCCAGACGCAGGTTAGTCACAGCTTCGTAATTACAGTATAAAATGCCATTCTTTGTCCGCGCGGTTCCGGATTAGATTATACAGGAATTCTTGTACACACACGAACGTCGTGTGCTCGATACCTGCCATTAATGGAAATGAACAGCTAATTACATACATTAACAACAGCATATTACACAAACATTGAGGAATTTAATTCTGACGTGATCTTCTCATTTTTTTTATAACAAATCATTTTATCTATAGTGCCGTTTATTCTCTCGTACTATATCTTCATCTAGCTTACAAATCCAGATTTGAAATTTCCAAGTATCGTAAATTTAATATTAATTATATAGAACATGCATCACTGAACAAAATACTTTCAATTATCTACTAAAAAAATGCATCGTTGTCGTGTGTATTTTAAATTTAAAATAAGATTAATAAATGAAATTGAATTCGCACAATGAATTAATCAATATTTTTTTATTACCGTCCGCACGTTAAGATCTTAAAGCGAAATACATTTCAACTTGAGTAAGCTACTGAAAACTCGACGTCAGATCGTTCAAAGGACACAATTAAAGTAAAAAAAGAATAAAGGAACTAAGATTGATGGTTCGCATGTACTCACCTCGTACAAGCCACTCTCACTGTCTGTAATCTACGCGAGCAATATTGGGATATGTTTCTGGATCTCGCACTACGTGCCGAGGGAGCACGCGGTGCAGTCTCTCGTGACATTGACCCATATCTTAACGAGCGAGCGAGCGAAATACGCACGTGGGTACGTGCGTGTAACAGGGCCGAGATCCGCGCCGATGGTGATCGATATGCGTCATAATCGACGTTAAAACTGTCGCCGCTGTGCGCACCTTAGGCTAGAATTTTAATAAATCACCGCTCCATTATCATGCATTAACTTTGCCCCAGATAATATTCGCGACTGAAAACGTCATTCTTTATTACGACGAGGTGCTTACGCGCATTGCATGATATGTCGAAGAAATATACAGAGTTCCTCGTTACGCGACGTGTCGTAAGCGTAAAAATCTCACTATGAACAAGAATTGTCTTTCTTAACAACTTTAAGAGATAATATTTACACATTGCTTACGATTGATCGGTGTTGTTCAGGTACTTCTTGGAAAATTATTTATACTGTTCGATCAAGACCGTGATGAGTTACTAAAGCAGGATGACTGGATTGAGTTTCTCAAGAGGCGGTTGACGTAAGCATATTTTTCCCATTATTTATGGACATTCTTATTTTTACGTACATTACGATTTTCTGACGGCATTTTTCATACATTTTTACGTCTCTCTCAGATCGTATTATCTTTGCTTTTTCAGAAATGAGAAGCAAAATGATCTTGTCGATCAGATCGAAAGCGTGGCGTACGTGCTGTGCGGGGAGAATCCGATAAATCTCGCCAATTTCCAGCAGATTTTTCATACCAAAGGGGTTAGATACGTTATTTTTATATTTAGAGAAAAAATATGCGGAAGAAAAATTAAAATTAATGTTCATCCACATTAGCAATTAATGAATCAACGCGAGAAGTAATAGAAGCAACCGAAAAGTTTCCTTTTATGGCGAGAGATACTAAATTGAAAATTAAAGTAGATTTACGTTTTATTATAATTCGTGGCAAAAATTACACTATTAATCTAGATATTTTATTAATTTTTAATTCTGTTCCTCTTTTCGTTGTATTCGCGTTATTTTGTTACGTATATAGAGGAGAGCGGTGTCAGTTGTAATAGGGTGTCAATTGAAACAAATAACTCGATGTCTATTTTATGTGTCTTCTACAGATTGTTGAAAAATTGTTCCGGTTAATTGATCAAGAGAACTCAGGATATGTTACGTCCACCCAGATCATGGAAATCATATCTAGCATGAGTAAAACCAGGTAACACACTGACTACAAAGTTACTTTTGTTAACAATGGAGATCATTGTCGAGCGTGTTTATAATTAAAACTTTAATCTGCGAAACACTAGGCGATAATTTCGATTGCGCGACCCATTAAGAGATGGAATTTTCGTTTCAGGCCACCTGCCGGCTTCGATAAAGGAAATCTTGAGTGGCTGGAGAAGATATTTAAGCAGACTGTCGGAAACGAGAGAGAGATCCGACGCGAGGAATTTAAAAAGATCGTCACTTCGAAAAATGTACGAAGACAGCATAAGTATACTTCATGTCAAACGTCGAATTTACACTTCAATTTCATTATTGAATTCAATTAGTTATATGATGTCGTCTCCTCGATGTTTTCTCGAACGGAATAATATAGCTTATTTTTACTCATTGAGGTTGACAATCGAATAATATTCATTCGAATTATTTTTCAGCCGTTCTTCACCGAGAGGGTTTTCCAAATATTCGACAAGGACAATTCCGGCGCAATATCGCTGCAGGAATTTATAGAGGCCATGCATCAATTCGCCGGGAAATCACCGGACGATAAGATTAGGTTTCTCTTCAAAGTTTATGATATCGACGGTAATATTTAAAATTTAGATTCGCTCAGTCATGTACGGAAAGAATATTTACAAAATTCAAGTTGCATCATTCTCTCTTTCGGAACGGCAACAGGCGATGGATTAATACAACTTCGAGAGTTAGAGCACGTGATGAGAGCCTGCATGGAAGAAAATGGAATGAAGTTCAGTGACGATCAAATCGAGGATCTAACGATCGCACTCTTCGAGGATGCCGATCAAGGTAACAGAGGAGCGATCACTTTCGAAGCTCTGAAGAGGCAACTGGAAAAGCATGATGGTTTGCTGGAAAATCTCTCTATCAGGTTTGACAGAAAATTATCAAATGCAAGAAATTACAATATTTCTGACAATCGCACAATTTTAACAAGGACCGACTTTTCCACACAAATATAAAATATTTTTTACTGTGTAGCATAGATCGATGGCTAGTACCACCACAGCCAAAGCCGAAACGGAAATCTACCTTGGGAGTGTTTTCGTCTCTTCGTCCGTATCAACTCACGAAACCGTACATGAAGAACAATTACGTCTACATCACCTTCATCTCGATATTCATCCTGATTAACGTGGCTCTCTTTGTTTCTCGTCTTCATCAATACCGAAATGACAGCGGTTACGTCATGCTCGCGCGTGCATCCGGTAAGAAAAATCTGATAATATACGCAAGAATATGCGTTTTATCTTTGGCTGTGACCTTCCTCGATTACCCGGAGGACACGGAGATGTGTCATATTCATTTTCTTACAATTGCACATTCTCTGATAAATTCAAGATATGTTTTTTATAATAAACATTGGTAGTCGAATATTAGATTCAGAGATAATTGTCGTTACATCAAAGTCTAATGAAATAATTCTAGCATCAGTATTTCAACTAATTAGCATTTTGACTAATTTCAACTAATCTCGATATACGATTTTTCAGGACAATGCCTGAATTTTGACTGTACGTTCATCCTGGTCCTCATGCTACGCCAATGCATCACATTTTTGCGAACAAATGGTTTTAACTCTGTAGTTCCTCTGGATCATCATATATATCTTCACAAAGTGGCGGGACTTTTAATCGGATTTTTCAGCATCATACACATTCTGATGCATCTCATTTACTTCGGTATGTTTAATATCTTTTTAATTTAATTTATAAAGTACGCTTTACTGATTCTCAAAATAAAATAAAAACTATTTTTCTTCCAAAGAAAATGTAGCTATTGCTATTTCGAGAAAGATATTTTATAGCTACCTACAGCAAAATTAGATAACTTTTAATAATTATATATATTTGTTTTAATTAAATACACGTAGCTACGGTGATAATGAAGGACGACAAAATGAACAGTGAAAACTACACGATGATCGAATGGTTGCTGACAAGTCGACCTGGGCACTATGGTTTGGTAGCAGGTACTGCATATCCTACTGGAGTGATCCTACTCGTTATACTCGTCATCATGACTGTCTGTTCGATGTCTTTTGTACGGCGCGGAGGGTGCTTCGAGGTACTTCGAATGTTGTCATACATACGCCGATATATCGAATTTTATATTGCAGCTCAGATATTATATCGACGATTTTATATAATATCCTATTTTAATCCATCTCTTATCCTTCAAAGATAAAAGAGGCGATAAATTAAAATAGGACATCCTGTGAACTTCCCTCCCATTCGTTTATTTACCTTCATACAATTCTCATGATTTTAAAATTCCTATAATTTTGTGTCGTTTTGAAAGGTGTTTTATTGGTCCCATCTGCTATACATACCATTCTGGATTCTGATGATCTTTCACGGCCCGAATTTCTGGAAGTGGTTCATCGGACCGGGTATAATATATTTAGTCGAGAGGATTCGTCGACTTGTATGGCTACGTTCTCAGCGAGGGAAAACGTACATAAGTTCCGGCCTGTTGTTACCTTCGAAGGTGACACACCTGGTCATCAAGAGACCGCCGCATTTTCATTTTCATCCCGGCGATTACGTCTTCGTTAACATTCCGGTAATAGCGGGATACGAGTGGCACCCGTTCACCATTAGTAGCGCTCCGGAACAGGAAGGTGAATTTTTATTGTTCTTCGTGTTTTCGTCTCGCATCGCTCTCTCATTTCTCGAAATTTTGCGCAATAGTCAACGATACGATGCCGAATTTATAGATTACATGTGGCTGCACATTCGCGCGGTCGGCGAATGGACCAATAGTCTGTACTCGTACTTCGAGAAGGAACAAATCAAACTTCACAACGGCGATATTTTACCTATTGAAAATGCTGCAAATACCCGCAAGAAGTCGTAAGTCTATTCCCAATCAGCACAGAAGCTTACAGCAACATTCTATTGAATATTACGAAATTATTGTAATTTCAACGAAATATTAGCATATAATTTTTACACATGTAGAACTCGGCGTGCGAAGTGGCAGTTTTTAATACTGGATATTTAAACACAATTAAAATGAACATTGAATTATTACATGTTATATAAGTTTGTAAAATTACATAGATTCCTCAGCAGCAAGAAGCCGCCTCTTATCGTGAAACAAAAGCCCTCGACGGAAACCCTGCAGCATCCGTATGGTCTCGACAATCCCATGTTCGTATCTGATTTGGCGAAGGCAATGTCACCCTCGAGTACACCTATTAATAATCAATCTGCATACTTAAAAACTCCGGAAAGTAAGGCTTACTTACAAAATCAAATATACCTTCGATACGCGATCTCACTACGTGTATATCATTCTGTCGAGAAAATAGTAAACTCAAGAGTTCTTTCTCTATTTCTTTCTCATGTTATGTAATCACGTTTTAATATAACACATTTCAAGAAATAATCTAATAAATTCAATAATTTAAATTAAAAAATTAACATGGAATGAGCTCATGTCGAGTATTACACGCAAATTCGACCGACAGATACACCAGGATCGGATAAGGATTCTATAGCTATGATGGGAAGAGACAGGAGGCTCCATCAGCTGCTTCTTGGTAGCAAACTGCCGCTCGAAAAGTCACGCTCGATGCCTGATATGCAAACGAAGAAGAAGAAGAAAGAACGACTAAGAGTGTGAGTAAGAAAGGATAATCCTCGTTAAATAATGAATTATTTTATTTATAAGAAATTATGCGAATGTCAAGTTATATGAATATTATATGCAGTCATCCATATTCTCTCACTTTCTCTCTCCCCTTCTTTCTCTCTTTCTTTCGAAATTTCTTGAAATAAAATTTCACTCAGAATTAGAGTCACCCGAATTCGAGTGATTTTTTATTCATATAAAGTGAATTCTCCGCTCTGCATTGTCTGGCTTTTCACTCATTTCGAGTGAGATTCTACTCCAAGAAATTAGAAGATACTGATGTTGCTGCAGACTTCGCGATTATATGAGATCGGAATCAGAGAGGAGCTTCGACGAATGTCAGATGAAACGCGCGCGATTGAAGTCGTTGGGCTTGGCATACCTGAGTCCGCAAAATAAATCGTTGGCCCAAAGTTTCCGATACATGCGGACGAAGCCAACCATCATCGCTTTTAAGACACCCAGTTTCGAAACGAGCGATTACGATGTCGACGCACCGTCGAATTCCGGTAAGTAGTGGAAAAAAAATTATATCTTTTATTCATAAATATATATAAAGTTACAAAAAGCAAAAGTTTTCTATAAAATAGTGTGATACGTTATTGAGATATTCTCACGGTAGTGAGACGATCGTGAAAAATGATTTGCGTAATTTATAATAACTGGAAAACGGACAGATCGTGGTTAAAAGTGATTTAGAATAATTTGATTGACATTTACGTTGACGAATGTATCATCGTGTAAAATCAAATACGATATCGAATATAAATTTGTATTATAATATTTTCTATCCACCACTTTTGGGCAGCGTCCAATGCTAACGCGGGGGCAAATGAAGTGACATCGACCACACCGGTGGATATGCAAGTCGCCGTGGAAGAGGGAAGATTGAAGAAAAATTTCAGTGAAAATTTCAGTACAAATAGTTTGGGAAGCTTAGATCCGTCGCTCGAAAATTCCTCTCATTCGTCTATAAATTATCCCGTAGGGAAGCCATTGGAGGTAAAGCATTTTCCTCTGATCCTTATGTAACTTTTTTCGCGACATTTTCAAAGCTCCGAAAAGATTTATGATTTTAATTAGGAATCGTGAATTGATTTCGAAACCGAACAATGCATTGCTATCGCAGATTTTCCTAGACGGTCCTTATGGGGCGCCGTCGAGTCACATCTTCCGAGCGCAGCATGCCGTCCTAATTGGCACGGGAATTGGAGTTACACCTTTCGCCTCCATACTGCAATCGATCATGCATCGATACTGGAAAGCGAGGCACACCTGTCCGAAATGCTCGTTTTCCTGGGCCAGCGAAATTCCGCACACTGTGATGAATTTGCGAAAGGTAGATGTACTCGCACTTAAGGATACGTTGTGCACAAGTGAAAATAATGAAAAAAATTACAAATCGATCTGTATTGTATTTAAAAGTGACATCAAAAGTTTACTACTACTACAGAATAATGCATGATTCAACGTGATGAATTAATTTAAGTGTTTAGATGTAGCAGAATATCTTTTACAGGTGGACTTCTTCTGGATTAATCGCGATCAACGTTCGTTCGAGTGGTTCTTAAACTTACTATCTCAACTTGAAATGGAACAAGCTGAGTTAGGTATCACTATGGAACGCTTTTTGGAGATGCATATGTACATCACAAGCGCGTTGCAAAAGAATGATATGAAAGCAGTTGGCTTACAATTAGCGATGGATCTCTTGCATGAAAAGGTAGGAAAATATTACAATTCTTCCGGGAACTTGTAAACAATCGACTTTGAAATTTACAATTATGTGTCAAACTTGCAAAGACAATCAAACTTGATTTATTATTTTATTATTCTTACCCATTGATATTGCTTCTCGTTGATTAGGAAAAACGAGATCTTATCACAGGTTTAAAGACTAGAACGAACGCGGGTCGTCCTAATTGGGATAAGGTGTTCAAGCAACTCCAGGACAGGAAGAAAGGAAAGATCACGGTGTTTTATTGCGGTCCACCTCAACTCGCCAGAATCCTTCGATACAAATGTGATCAGTTCGGGTTTTGTTTCAGAAAAGAGTCCTTTTAATATCTCCAAAAGAAATGGATTTCTCTCGATAATTATATCGGCGTGGAAAGTTTATGAAGAATGTTAACAAACAGTAATTTGCCACTGGAATTCACGTCCTCTAATTTTACTCATTATAATTGTATAATAACTATATTTTAATAAATTATTTTTCTCGATTTTAATATGGACTTACGGACAATCTTTACCTGTCATATTTCGGGCCATAAATTTCTAAAATTCGATTTTGTAATTCTTAATTAACCGAAAGATACTTTCGGTCGCTTAACTCTTCCATTCGTTGATCAATCAATGTTCTTCATCATTCTGGCTGTTTCGTGCATTATCCAGATGGTAATCAAAAGGAGTGAAAAATATAACTGCCGTTCTGTCATAGTTTCTACAAGACTAATTTCCGCGTTATTTTTGTTTCATCGATCAAATAAAACCGTCGAGATTTTGCATTTACGTTCTTTTATCACGTCATTTTTAAATTTAGGTATTATGAAAAGTTTTCTATAACTTACATCGACGTATTACAATGGAATTTTTCAATAATCCGAAATTAGTTGATTATGCGTGAATTGACAATGATATATCGATAGAATTGATATGTAATAGAAGTAAATAAAAATATAATTCATTTCGAGGTTAGTTTTATTAAAAAGTACTTTTTATTACGTCGAACAGGTCTTTATGAGTCTAACTAAAACGCCAACATTTCATAAATATGTTACATACAACAATGTTACAAATGCCGCGTTAGTAAATAAATTGTATATCACATACAATTATTACATGCAACCAGAGAGAGTATATAATAATTATATAATTATTAATTATATATATATATAACTATAGATAATTATTAATTATATAATTTATATCATATACAACTTATAATTTATATCTTTTGGGAGTAACATTGACTAGACTTGGTTACTTCCATAATACTATTAATACAAATTGTGTAATACTCGTAAATGTTATAAGTCATCAAAAAGCTAGATCCATAATCGAGTTTAGGCGAGCTGAACACCGTTACTCTAACGTACACGAATAAATGCATTTGTGAAAATACGCATAAGGTGCGTACAGCACCGCGTCCGAAAGTGTTTAGTTTCAGTCAGCATTTACGTTTATCAAGACAGATGCCTGATTGCAGTGTGTTATGGTGAATTCGCAAGGATGTTGATACCACGGCTCACCATCCACTTGCATGGCGCACGACCGCATCAATTTGATCTAAATAGTACAAACAATATACCATTGTGTACAGTTGCACACGCAAGAAAATCTTTCCGATAATTCAATATTGCATTCAATACCTTTACGGTTTTAGCTTGGCCAATCCGATGTGGCTTCGAGAGGCCTACTTGCAGCTGAGCCATGTGGAATGAAGAGTAAAGAGCCACCACCTCCAACTTGCCATCATTAATACTTTGTACACTCACATTATCCTCATCTGTTTGACATATCGTTGATATATAATATATGATTGATTTCAAACGCGAGAGTCTCTCAATATCGATTTGTATTAAATAGACTAACCTTCCATTCCCATTTTCCACAGGTCGACTCCGGCAGCCCAAGATGGAATGTTAAGTATTACTACGCTCTCAATGGAAGGCAACTCTACCTTCTGGTCGTCTAAATAAACCTCTAAACTCTGTTCGAGATTTTTGCATTCTCTTTCCACGACTTGTTGTGTGCCAAAGCATAAGTACAATAACTGCAACATGTATAAACATACAGAATGTCCTACTCATATCATATGAACGAACGAGAAATTTGTTTACTTGATGAAGAGATACCTTGTTGAATAATCTATGACTAAACAGGTAAAACCGGCTCTCTCTTGTGCGATGAAAATTTAAAGTTACTTGTGCATCCACACCCACGCTTATGTAATTATACATAAATAGCTTCTTATATGATCCTCGGAATCCCAGTCCACCGTGTGGTTTTATCATTACGGACCACCTAAATTCCAGAAACTCGCTAAGAAACTAAATCTAACACTCGATGGTGTAAAAGCATATATCCTTGTTTATCCTATACCTGTCAAGTTTTACTTCTCGCGCTACCCGTATCTTCTGCAGGATCTCAACTGGATCCATATATTTATCGTGTTCCTTTCCCCATCCTAATACTCGGGATAAATCGTTGCCTGTCCCCAAAGGAATTATTGCTACAGACGGAACTGGCTGTTTCGTGTAAAAATATTTGTTTGTATTCGTGCTGAAATAATGTACGAGTGTGTGACTATGATAAAAAGAAAAGCATAAAAATCACCTTCAAGCAGAGTTTGTTGATAGTGTTCAGCAACCAAGCAATCGTTCCATCGCCACCCGCTACGAGAACAGTGCACGGAGTTTCTCCCAGCAAGCGGCACCACTCGAGAGCGGCGACTGGATCGCGTTCCGCTAAATCCACGATCTGCGCAGGATTTAAAAGTTTTCTGAACAGAGACAGAATTTGGCTTCCGTCGTTATTCCCAGATTTCCTATTTCCTATGGAGAAAGATATCATAAAGAAAAGATTTATTCAGTTTATTTTTATTAAGGTGTCGCTTTATCCGTGTAGATATTTTATAGGCAATTTACTTAGTTGTGATTCTCACTTACCTACAACAATAACTGGGTGCCACTTTGGCCAATTTGGTGTTATAATAGAACGAAGGTGTAATCTGCGTCTCATTGTGCTACGTCGATTTATCACTTCTAAGCTTCCTGGTGGAATAATCATTAATTTGAACGTTCCAAAATCACATATCTGAAAAGAAAGCATGATTACTTATTATAAGTTACTTAGAAAAATGAGATATGTCGACATAGAAGGAACATTTTGTTAATTATTACTTCAGAAAGAATAGATTTGCAAGCTTCATGAACACATCTCTGACACCAACAACACCACCAATCTGTGAGACCAGGTTCTATATCGCATTCTTCTCTGCAGATATAGCAAGTGGCAACAAGTGGCAGATTACCTTTAAATAAGAGGAAATATACTTTAAAAGGTGGAATATAATACAAATACATTACAAATTATAAATGTAACTAGTAATACCTCTGATCCAATGATGTTTCATTGCCTGGTCATTATTGAGAGTAATAGCCTTGCATTTGAGTCGTTTATCAGCAAGCTTTACACAACTTTGATCCGCACACACACCACAAGAATCACAGTGAAGACCATCCATATTCAATAATAAAGCCTCACAAATATTACAGTAATATGCCTGTAGATGAATAAAAAGCAATTCTGTACTTTTAACATATTAAGTTTATTATTTTCCGAACTATAACAAGAATTTTAAATCCAGTGAATAACAGAGATATAAGATATAAGGAATACAAAGCAGAAGTAAGAGTAATATAGAGTTAAGTAAGACTAATAATATGTTGGATCTTTTCATTACCATTTGGAACAGTTTATTGAAACTATCCTTAATTCTTGAAAGTACCTTAGTTGTTGCCCTGATCACCTTCCAATTATGTTCCTTTGTGATATCTCTAATTTGAATATGAGGATCACCAATAAGATACCTTAAGAAATTTAACGTAAATATAAAGAAAACCATGGTAGATAATGTTGGTAGGACAATAGTATTCAGGCCTTCTTCCCACATAATAATATTTAATTGGAAGATTCCACAAATTTATTACTTTCTGAAAGAAATATTATACTAAGCGCATGCTTGTCTAAAGTAATATTTCTTATATCAGCACAGTTTAGATTGATATTTAAAACTTATATCACAGAATTATATAAAATATTGTATGAAGTTTTTAAAATTAATATATATAATTCAATATACATTATACCTTTAATATATACATAATATATTCATTAAAATAAATCATTAATTAAACCAATATATAATGTATATTGTAAAAATTGTATAAAAATACTTATTTTATAATGAAGTTCTTCGAAAAACAATAAAATTTAAATTAAATATCTTTATGTGCTAAGTAGCACATGTATGTAAACACGAGGAGTCTCTATTAAGATTTCTATAAGAATAAAAAATGAAAATATATAATACAATTGCAATACATTACGTACAACAATATATAGTATAATTAATTATTAATAATATTGATCAATAATATAATTACCTCTTACAACCAACGTGACAATCACTGTTTGCATATCATGTTGTTTGCATTTTGCAGATCACTCGTGTTCCTTCCGACGTCGTTTACCAACTACGTTTATTTGCTGCTAACATCGAACCTTGCTGAAAGAAAGAAACCTGAGAGTAGCCATCCGTCCGCTTTTCGGACTCTCTTTTCGATACGCCCTCTGAGAAAATGTATGTAAACTACGTTAGTCCCGGTTTACAATAGGTATTTTAAGCCTTTGGTTTCTGTCCATAGAAATGCATGCCGGCAAAAAGCGACGTGACATCTAATCAACTTTTAGTTCTCGTGGAAAAATGGCACGTTGATTGGCTACTGCGTCGCTTCTCGCCCTGCGGCACGCAACGTCGCGTCCTGTGGGCAGAAGCCAATAGAATGACGTTTATAATGAGCGTCCAAATGGAACGCAGCCTTGGTCTTCTAAGGACTTTAAATTTACAATAGATCTGTTCATTTTCGTTGCATCGCTGAACTAGTGCAACAAGTTGAAACGAGACAAGTATATGTTTTCTCACTTCAACTGATAGCACTAGTTCAGCGGTGCAGCAAAAACGAACAAACCTAGTGTGTGAGCGCACAAAGAGAACGCACCCTGATACGAGATTGGCTGAAGAAGGCCACTGTACGCTACCGCCCTCTCGTACACAGATTGAAATGTATGACGACGGGTACGTACAAGATTCTTCACGTTTCGTAATTTTCTCGAACTAGTGCAGCCAGTTCAACTATAAAGAATAGTCCAACTGCTTTTCGACATTCGTGGTAATTGCGAGAATCATCGATAAAGGTTAGTTTCATTAAATATGCGTTGACATCATAGCATTATTGAAGCCCTTCGAAATTAGTCAAAATCCATCCAACAATGGCGATCACTGCATTTAGAACTTCGCGCAATGTTCACTTCTGGTCCATTGCTGTTCCTCGTTGCGTTTCGCATACAAACGTACTCACGACAAGCATGTCACTCGTATTTTAATCACATTTATGATTATCGTTACTTTAACGAATGTTTAAAATAAAACTGTATTTGCGAATTCGTTTGAAAAGCTTTGATTGCGAAACAACATGATGATTTGTAAAAGAATGCCTTTGTGCCGTTAAACGTTTTTCAGACGAAATAAGGATTTCTATGTAACTCTTTTTTTTATAATACAGCCCTTCAAACAACGATAAATTTAATTATGCCGTTCGAATAATCACGGCGTTACCTTTTGAGAAACGTACCCTAACCCAATATAAAAACTTTGGCTTTTGGTAGACATACTTTCGTAAACATGTTATTTTAATTCTCTTACTCATTCCGTGGCGTCTGTTTAATACCACGAGAATCTCCGAGAAAAAATAATCCCGAAAATATTTCGAGCAATATATTTGCGAGGAAGAGAGTCTCCTCTTTATTGCTCGTCGAGCTTCTCGACCCCGTCGGCATTTTTTACCGCGACGATGGCGCGTCGCCGATGAGAAAGCCTCCGATGACCAAGTCATCATCATCATTATCATCATCCATCGGCCACTTCCTGTGTTTACACAGCATCGTCTGCCTCCCGTTACCGTTGACCTCACGACCAAACCATCGGTCGGGGGTGACTGACTGACTGACGGACGAACGGAGGAAGACGCGCTTACCTCACTGTCGAAAACGGCGGCTGTGCTTTTGTTAATTGGTCACGGTCGTCGGTGACTCTTCCCTAAGCCTTTGCCCGACGGCAAACACGATCGTGAGGTCGCGAAGCGGGTGAACGGGTTGACGTGACGTGCATCCGAGCGTGCGAGACTAAGATTGATCTATCATTGTCTTGTCTGGCCGCCGTCTGGACGGTTGATTGCCATCGGGGCAAATATTATCTTCCCAGAATTCCCGCGGCCTTAGCGTTTTCGCGTCGTCTCGCGCCAGACCGCTTCGTAAATGATAGAGGAGCTTAACCCGGGAATAGTCACCATATTTTTTTTTTTACGTTAACGATCACGAACACTTAATGCGTTTATTCCGTTTCTTAAATATTTTTTCGGGGGTTTTTCCTCATTTGTTCAAAAAGTAGCGAATAAATCTGTATTTATAATATTCCTAAATAATAATAGATCTTCGAGCAATCGATAATATGTTATATTTTGTTAATAATAGCGACTTTTAATTGGAGTTTAAATGACCCCAGGTGACTATACCCGAGTTAATGAAGCCGATGACTACGCATTCTCGCGCGCAGAGATATGAATGAAAATGAAAATTCATCGCTAACAATGCGCGAAATTGTGGACTGCATTTTATTAGCCTCACGATCACGAATTATATGCCGGTTCTTTTAGATCTTTTGACTTGGAAATTGGTTTCGATGACGCTGGATAGTTTCATGCGTATTTTTCCTACCTCCTTATTTTATTCCACCTCCTAGAAAGACTTATCGAAAACTTGAAGGATATCAAGTTCACATAAATTCGTACACAATCACACGAATTCTTATTCAGAATTTATGCTAGGTTTATGCACGTTAAATTGGATTGGACTTTTCTATTCTATTTTCGGTAATTTAAATGCATCGTATAAGAGGAGCTCGTATTAGTTGACTAAATGGATAAGTTGGCTAATTAATTATTTTTGTTATTTTCTATCATATTACAGAATCGAACAAATAGGGATTTCATAATCATCTTTGACATGTTTGAAATCTGTGCCTGCTCGATTCTGTAATCTGTTCCGTAAAATAACAGAAATAATCAATTAGCTAATTTATTCCTTCCGCAAACTAACCCCGGCCTCTCCTGCGTCGGAAAAAAAGCATCAATTTTATCATCCATAATGCATATTTAGAGTACACACACGGCATTACTCAGTCGTGCGACTAAACGCCGAGGAAATTATCTGCGAGTTTTGAGGGGCCCTTTTCTTCTCCTTTTTCCCCGCTTCTGCCAAAAATTACGGAGAAAAACGACGTGCAATTCACGGTTGCGTGCAACTGCGCGCAATTAACTATTTTCAGAAACACCGTGAGCAGCCTCGGCATCTTTTGCGAGGATAACAGCCAAAACTCGCTTGTATCTTTGATCACCGAAAATGCTCACGCCGACGCATTGTTTTACCCGCTGCGAATTAGCAACTGCCACACGATTGCACGCAATCTCGCACGACTACATGCCGGCTTTTTCTACTGAATCTTCGAACGCGCGCGCGCGCGCGCGAGGGAACTCACGGACATGCGTCCGCGTTACGCGTCTGATATCACTAATAATATCGATACTTTTGATTAGATACTCGTTTCAGTATTAGTATAGATACTTTTATGGTATCACAACATTCTTACCTCTTTCTACCCGCCACCCCCAATGCGAGAACTCGGCTCTCTGATGGGCGAGCGAACGAAAAACAAAGATCTAAAGCACGCTGCGTGCATTCCGGTCGCGCGCGGACGAGAAGAAAAAGATAGGAAAGAGAATAGAGAGTCATGAAACTCGCGAGCGCGCGCAGAGGGAGACTTAGGGGGCTGACGGAGGGAGGGATAGAGAGGAGGATGAAAGAGAAGGAAAGAGAGAAGGAGAGAAAGAGGGGGAAATAAAGAAAGAGAAGGAGCGAGGTGTTCGCGGTGCGCGGCTTGATTGAATGCGGATGTGCGTGCAGCCGGTGGCCGGTGGTCGACAGCCACGAATCGGGGGAAAATTATAGGTAGGTCCTCCTTTCGTACATGTCGGTGGTTCGATGCTATCTGCCTTCTCCTTCCGGGAATTTCGCGGTATAAATAGGAGGGCGGTGGTGTGTACGTGCGTATGTGTGCGTACGTGTGTCGCGTGTGTATACGTGTGTCTCGGCTCGACTGCACCCGGAGAGTTGCAGTTGACTTTCCCTCTCTCTCTCTTTCTCCCTCTCTCTCTCTCTCTTCAACACTGTGGAGAAGTCGACGACGCGGCGGCAACCGAATATTCGGCACCCGCACGATTTATGCACCCCACTTTTGTGCAGCCGCCGTCACCGTACGGGCTGGGAAAATGGAATTCCACTCACGGCACGAAAGCCACACCGTCGCTTCGAGCTGTTGTTTTAATTGTCGACAGCGAGCACAGCGAGCATATGATTCGGGCAAGCCGAGAAGGTCCGTCTCGGGGCATTCATTCATCCCCTTCTACCTCTTCGCCACTCGCCACTTCCTCCCGGCCGTCTTGCCTCGCGAGTGTTCCGGAGCCCTTGATTCCGTGGGCTCTAAACCCCTTCGCGTTGAAATTACCGGTAATTATGCGCCGTCGTTATCCGATCGTGGCTTATTCATTGGAGCCGGAATCTTTACGCGATAATAAATCCATGATAATTTCGCCGGAGCTTCGAGTATGCACGGGCCACGGTATCTTTGACGCGGCTTCTGAACTTATCGGCCGTATAAGCTTGTGCGGTTTATTATCTCTGTGGCACGAGTGAGAAGTTTCGTCAAAGAAGGTCAGTTCCTCCAATTCCTCAGATCTTGAGAAATTATCTCACGACAAATTTCCCTACTCGTTAGCTTCCCGTTTCATATTGCGACGTGCGTCGCGAAGAAACGCGACCGGTGCGCGAAGAGGTGTCATTGACCACCATCCGCGCGTTTCCGCGCGTTTGTCGCTGCGCCGCGATTTAGACGCGATCCTTCACGAAAGCGGGACATTTCCGGGTGACGCCGAGGTAACCGAATTCCTCGTCGCAACGAGAAGCCGTCCTCACCCGTGTACCGACACATCACTCGATAAATTGACACACAAACTAGAGATACCGCCGTCCCTTTCGACGCGGTCCCTCGCCTAACCCTTTAATCCCGATGCATTGAGAGCGAGAGGGAGGAGGCAGGGAGGGAGAGAAAGAAAGAAGCAGGCAGCGGCTGGCTACTTTATACTCGAAAGCTACCTACCTGCCTGCCTGGCTGCCTGATTGCCTGCCTACCTGCCTGCCTACCTGCCTGTGCGAAAGGGGAGGTATTACGGGGTTACTAAAGTATTGTATGGCCTCCCTAAGCCCCATAAGGATAGCCCTCAGGCACGCACCCCCGTTATCGTACGCGTATGCATTTTTTTCGCTAGTGCGTGCGAGCGGGGACTCGCAGCCCTTATATGTGCAGTGAAGGTGAAGGGGGCATCGGGTAACACGGGCAGGCAGCCACCCAAACGACCGAAACCTGAATGCTCACCGGAGGACATGACTTGTTCACATAGCGTGTCCTCTGCCACTCTTTCGTCGAACGAGCCGCGTTCCTCTCGTACGCACACGCGTGCTCTCCTTATCGCGCGCACCGTTCGCCTCTAATCTCACCGTTCCACTTGCTCACCTAAGAACACACCTGTATTTACGATCGATAAGGGCCAACGTTCGGAAACAGGTGGGATTCCGATATCGCGCCGTTCCTCTTGCGCCTTCGAAGGCGCGGAACCGGCACACTCCCCTTATCTCATCGTTCCCGGCCGTCTGCGAGCTCCTGAAGTCCGATCGCAGATTAATGACGTCCAATTAATTACACTCGCGATCTCTCAGTCATTCATTTATTCGGTGAAATTAATATTTACGTATATTTATACGAATTTACGTCCACGTAAATCTACGCTGTCGATAATAATGATCAGCTGAGAGCAATTTAATGAGGCAAATCCGCGTATCTCTCGTGAGCGTGCAAGCGTGAAACCGCGTGTCTAAGAGTCTATAAATATCAGCTTCGTGGAAAATATCCGGCACGTTCATTCACAAGTTGCTCGCCGACTTCGTCGGTGTTCACTGCTGCGTTAATTGTCAATTATTCGTGTGCACCGTGCACCTCAAAACCGTAGTGTAAATTCACCAGGCCT